AACCAGTCTGCTCACCCCCAAAACAATGTATTCTTCTTCATGGCAGAACAATCTGCCCTGGATTCAGGGCTACAAAGCAGGATCCCTTTGATGAACAACTCCCTGAGCACTTTTAGGATGTGGCTGCATGTTATAATAGTTGATTGGCATACATTTTGCCCAAGAATGTTTCCATTGGTGTGCCCGGGAACCGAGGAACTGTGGGTTCAGAAGGAGGCTGCAGGCTGGAGATGTTTGGCAACATTTATATCATTAGCCGCTTGAGGCTATTCTAGTGATAAATCCCATTGAGGACTAAGTCTGGTAACTCCCACTCCCTGCTTCACCAGGGAGGGAACTCCCACAGAAAGTGGAATCAAACCCAGAGCTTCATCTCCTCATTGCTAGAGAAGTTAGATGGGTTAGGGCTTGCTGCGGGAGAGATAGGAAACATGGTGGCTCTGTGCCAAGCCCACAGAGAGTTCCGAGATTGTTCCAGAGAAGCTGGGGAAAAGTCCCCCACAAGCGAGCAAGCATAGCATTAGTTTAATTGAACAGGGTGGAAAAAGATCAGATTCAATGGAAGGGATGATGATGATGATGATGATGATGGTGATGATGATGATGATGATGAATGTCATTTTTGAGCACTCCTGTCCAGCAGCATGTTAAGCCCTTTGACAAATATTATCACATTTCACATACCTACTTTCCTACAAGATGTTGTCATGTGTAAAATGAGGTATACAGAGAAGAAGCAGCTGTCTCAAGGAGACAAGGAACTAGTAAGTGACAGGGATAGGTCCTATGCCTGCACCCTTCTGACCCACACAACAGGCTATGGGGCACCAACATGTTCAGTTAATGGGGTGGAACCATTGTCATTGCATCATTGTTGAGGGTAGGGTGAGATACGGAGAGAGGACCTTCCTATGGAAACAGAAGTGCTGCTGAGGCCATTCGGAGTGGGGGGATCCCTGGGAGCTTCAATGTTCTCAGAGTGATGGTTGTTGTGGAAATGAGAGTCTGGCACAATGCTGGGACACATCAGTGCTCAATGGGTACTCCTCAGCCATATTGTTGAGGTTCAGTTTATGGGCCACCAATACAATTCAGTCACTTATCAAATGAAGGCTTATCTGGCATTCTACCAAGTGACAGGTCACATGCTAGACATAGAATTGCAGGGTTGAGCATTAAGAGCAAGATCCTTGTCCTCCAGCAGTTCAGTGCAAGAGAAAACCACTGAATAATACAGAAATAAGTGCAACAATCGAATGGCACAGAGTATCAGAAGGTTTTCCAGGTACTCCTCCTCACACGCCGAGTCCCATGGGTCCTGTCATCGTTCCCAGGACCCGCCCTCTCACAGTGACATGCACACTCATCGCTCAGGACCAGTGGTCTACTGTCACAAAATGCACCCCAGGCCCTGGACTCTGCAGCTCTCCTTGTATGCCACTGACAGCACCATGAGTATTCACAGCCTGTGTGGGTAATGGCCCACAGCTGGGGCTTAACATGTGGTGGACAGGCCAGTCATCTCTATGGGCAGTAATTCCCACTGATGGACACATTTCACACAGGTCTTTTTTGGAGTGCCTGGTCCACAAGCATCTCCCAGAGGCTGATGCCACAATAAAAATTCTTGGAAACTCACTTTTATACGGGGTAGAAAGGACAATTTTGGAAAACATCCTCATTTTTCCTATAATAGATCAACTAGTTTGAGGACAAAGAGACACTGTAAAAACGAATTGTTTTTACCTTGTGGAGATCTAAGCTACATTTTTTTAAAATTTAGCTAAATATCATAATGGATTTTAGGACTCCTGAAGGAAGTTTTAGAGTGTGACTTTCTACTTAGGTCATGCTCGGACCAATGATAAAGCAACAGAGCCATCATCTTTCCAGACTGTATACAGATCACACTGTCCATTCTTGGACATGTCTGGACCCTTGAGGTCCAGAAGGGCTGTGGCAATACCAATACTGGACAGAAGAGGGCAATATACGCTCAGGGAGTATGTTCAGCCCAGGACTCTGCTCACTGGCAGCATCTTAACAAATGTTTTTCAGCCTTTTGAGGCAGACAGGGTAATGAAACCAAGTCTTGGTAAGATTAAAAGATTGGAAGAGTCATTGGCTGGGTGACTTGGTTAGAGCAGTTCATGCAAAGGTGAAAGTGGCACTTGGAAGTGGCACAGCAGGTGTGACTCTAAATCCAGGGTGTTTGCCTTTACTTATCCCACTTTGAGTTCTGTTATTCCCCCCTTAGTTCCTAAGTAATCAAATAATAGGTTACCATGAATGGTTGCAGAGAAGGTCTGGATTAAAGCCCAAATTTGGACCTCTGCCCTTCCTGGGCACAGTGAAGACAAGGGATATGCTTTAATATCATATTTCATTTCCATGTGTTACAGTATCTATATGGAAATATGTTATAATTGTTCTTTTTGGCAGTACTAGTGTTTGAAGTTAGGGCCTTGAATTTGCTGGGTAAGTACTGTACCATTTGAGCCATGCCCTATCTCTTTTTGCTTTAATTTGCTTTTCAAGAGGGGAATCACATTTTGCACCATGATCCTCCTATCCCCTGAGTAGCTGGGATCATAGGTGTGTGCCACCACACTCAGCCTGACTATATAGAAAACTTGAGGATAACAGCAATTAACCATGTGCTGAGCAGTTACTGTTGGACCAGGCTGGCGCTGTGCAAAGGGCTTTCGCTTTTTATTATCTCACTCAATCCTTCCAAGCAACCCGAGGCATGTAATACTATTCATATTTTACAAGTAGGAAAATTAAGGCCAGAAAGATTGGATAACTTACCTAAGTTCACTTGGCAAGCAGCCCAGTATCACTCAGATGCCTACATCTTTACCCACACTCCTGCAGCTACACCACGCTGCAATTTCAAGGATTCCTGGCATCTTAAATCAGGCAGCCAAATCTATAGCAGACCTCAGAAGTTGTCCCAGTCTTATGCACCCAGATTCAGTGTGCAATGTCGGCAATGGAATGGCAACAATGAAGGAACGTGGCATTTGTATCAAAATCCCAATAATTTTAGTATCTTATTTCCCTGGAGTTTAAGGTTTCTCAGAAGAACCAGCTTAGAGCTGGAAGCATAGCTCAGTAGTAGAATGTCTTCTAGCCAGCCCAAAGTCCAGTGTTCAAACCCCAGTCAGTATTGCCCAGAAGAAGAGGAGGAAGAGGAGGAGAGAGGAGCAGAAGTAGAAGCATCAACACGTCATCAAGACATCAACACGTCATCAAGGTTGTCTTTCCTCTTGGATCCTAGGACCTAGAACATTCTCCCATTGATTCAGAAATTGATCAAACTTATTAGAAGTATTTACAACTCTGAAAATTTAAAGCTTGTTCCCCTGTGTTGGGTAGGCAGACACATAAGTTGGGAATCATGTCACACACACACAGCGGGCTAAGACCACTTACTTACAGTTGATATTGTTTGTGCTGAATGTTCTAAGTAGAATCTACTTTGTAATGTAATTTTAATGTGTTTTTCATTGAGTCAAAAGCAAAAAAGTAAAAAGTAAAAAGGAGGCTAAGCTCTTAGCTACTCAGGAGGCTGAGATCTGAAGATCACAATTTAAGCCAGCCCAGGCAGGAAAGTACATAAGACTCCAATTAACCAGCAAAAAAAAAAAAAAAAAACCAGCATAGTGCTGTAATCCAACTGTTAGAGCACTACCCTTCATCAAAAACTTAGAGAAAATACGCAGGCCCTGAGTTCAAGTCCCAAGACACATGCACACATGCATTCACACACACACACACACACACACACACACATATGCAGGAGGCTTATTTTGAAAACAATCAAAACAAAGCCAGGTAAACAAACCTTGCAACTGTCAGCTCAGCCTTTCTGCTCACCCCTAGGTCTGCATGATGGGGCAGTAGCAGGAGAGGAGAAAAGGGCAATGTTACCTGCTCCATAAATGTTAACATCCATCCCAGTTACCTGTGCATCTGAGCATCATTGTGCTCCAATCCTGTAACCTTTGCTACACAGCCCAGGACTGAGCATAGAAGCCATCCTGTCAAAGCCAGTGATTGGCATTTTCCATCTTCAAGCCAGTCCATGGAAGCTCACTTCCTGCCTGTGCCCTCTCTTCTGAGTTCATCCCACTTCTTGTGATTTTTGATACATTGAACTCTTGAAATTGCCCCCCTTCTAAGTGTGGGCCAGATCTGACTTTTGGCTTTTCTACTACATACAATGGCTTAATGGCACTCAGAGAATATCTGAAACATTGTAGTAGGACACGGAGTCCAAATATCAAAGGTACATCCTACACCAGAGGTACTGGTTAGAAGGAAGAGGTCTCTACACTTGATCAAAGCCGTACCTCCAGTTCAGCAGTGTGTCAGGAGCCAGACTGCACAGCCTTTGGCTCAGTGGCCCCCCTGCCTGGCCTCCCTAGGGTCTGGAGAATGAGTTTACCCCTCCTATTTATCCACAGCCATGCCTGCCTGATTATGTGGAGGGAGAAAGCTGCGTAGTTTATGATGTGTAAGACTGCGGTTATGGACTAGGATTTTGCATATCAAGCCCAGTGGAAAGAAACCTAACTTGGAGAGTCTGTTAAGCTGAAACTGAGCAACCCCCCTCTTCCTCTCCCCCCCTCATTTGTGCAGGATTTACCATCCCTGCCTTCCTGGCTCTTCCCATCATGGATCCAGCCAGCCAAACCTTTCATTAGTTACAGAAACTCAGGGGGGAAACAATGCAACAACTAAACACTGGCAGCCAGTCATGGCAGGTCAGCAGAAAACCCCTTTAAGACCTGCGATAGTTAGGCGGTAACCCACAGCAAGCTGGTTTCCAAACCCAGGCCCTTGGCACATAGATGTTGTCTGATCTCTGATTGTATCTTGGCTGTGTAGAGCCTTGGAGAAGCCAGTCCCAGTCCTGAGCTGCCCAGCCTCCTCCCATGCTTGACTAAGGAAGACCCAGAAAGGGGAAGGGGACAATTCAGATGGCTGCTTACTGTGCTGGTCGCTCCTGTCCCTTGTCCCGTCCACTGTGCCATCTGGGAGGATCCTCAGGAAGTGGCCTCCGTTGCTGCAGTAGAGGAGTTTGGGTTTCTTGTAGTTCCCGTGAGGCAGGTTAAACCTCTCCGTCAGAGCTGTGAAGGTTGTGATTTCCCCTTCAGCCATGGCTCAGCAGTGGCTGGCGGCAGGGGTGACGATGTTCTCAAGACTGTAAGAAATTACACAGGCTTGTAGAAGATTTTTTTTTTCCAGCAAAGGCGTGACAGACACTTTGTAGAAGAGAAGGCCCTCTTAGGCACAGTGTTCCTGGTTGACTGCCCAGGTGATGCACAGTGAATGCCCCTGTGAGGTGGTGGTGGGGAGGGAAGCATGGTCCTTGGCATGGGAGGGGTTGCGAGACATTTCTCTTTTCCTAATTGGTCACAGCTTTGGACTAAGTGGTACATTTTTTTTAGAACTTCAGATTGAATCATTTGGCCAACAGGGAGAGAAAAAAAAATCATGTTTTGCTCCCTCCTTCTGGTCCCTACACATCCTCAAATTAAACACCAAAGTGGCTCTAAAATAACACCCAGGGTCTGGCTGAAACCCACAGAAGCCGAGAGACCAGCACTGAGGGACTGCCCTCCACCCTCACACTGTTTTGACTAGGGACTGCCAGGCCTGGGCACAGCAGAGAGCCCAGATGACCTGGACATGCGGTTACCTGTGAGCAAAAGGCACAGCAGGGGCAACAAGTATGGACCAGATATCCGGGGTGAATGAGGAGGTGTAGAGCCTGAACTGGAGAAGGAGGCAGAGAAGCATCATGGGAGGAGTTTTAAAGGGCAAACACAATGCCAAAGGAAACTGTAGGAGACAGATCATTGTGCCAACTGCACCTGGATCCTGCTTGTTCCACAGCCTCTCACAGTCCTCATACCTCATACCACCTGTCCTGGTGCACCGGCCATTTTCATCCTAATATGAGGCTTTTTTTTTTTAAGTGGGAGGGTTTTATTTATTTCAAGATTTTGTGCTCGCTAGGAGGCACTCTATGCTTGAACCATGCCTCCAGCCCAGTGTTTTGCTGGTTGTTTTTGGGATAGAGTCTAGCAAATTTTTTTGTTAAGGATGGCCTCAAACCATGATCCTCCAGAACTCAGCCTTTTGAATCGCCAGGATGACAGGCATGAGCCACTGGCATGTCTTTTAACATGCAAATTACTGTATTATATATTATATATTATGATCCTCTAACCCTGTATATACCACTGTATATGCATTTATATTACTAGTGTAAAATTGTACTATCATCTCTAAGTTTATAAAAATTAAATCTAATGGATGTTAGAATGTTAAGGCATGTACTTGCCCACCATTTAGTTGAAGAATGGGCAGGTGACTACGAAATCTGGAAAAGAAAGATACCAAAAAGAGAACAGGGAGCTAATATGAAGACTTCACCTGGGAGTGAGTAGCTATTAATTGTACATAGAGATTATCAAGTGGATTTATAATCAAAATGGTCATCAGCATCAACATGTTCTGGACTTGTAAGATAATACCTTATCCTTTAACTTGGTTATGAATATTGCATTTCAAAAATCTCTATATATATAAAGAATAAATCCAAAGTCAATAGCTAGAAGTAGTAGAGCTAAGCCTCACAGTGGGTCTGTGGACCCAAAGCTCTCATTTGCCTTTAAATGATGAAAGGTGAAGGGATTTGTGGGTACTGAAATACTGGGAGGAACCTGCGATTTGTGCCCATTGCCTCAAATAGTCTCTTACTTGTGATCTAAATGCTGGTGGCTTCCACCAACAGCTTCTGCCCCTGGCCCTGCCATCCTTGCAGTGAGACACCAAACCTCCTAGGAGAAACCCATCCCTCCCTCACACAGACCACGCAATCTCCGTGTTCCTTGTTGGAGGGACCTGTCCAGGCCTAGCCTGGAACAGCCTAGTGAGCAGCACTCACAGAAAGCTCATTCACAAATCATGCCATTACTCTGGATACTAGGATTGCAATGCACATTGGAAGCCTCTATTCATTGTATCTGCTTCTGGCATCTGAATCTTTCTGGTACCTTATTTCCAAGCTATAGCCACCTAGGCTTGTCACTGGACCCAGTTTCAGCTACTGGTTGAGAACCCTACATCCAGGGATCTACAAAACAAGTTTCACTTATACTCTACAAACTGTATTTAAAGCCAAAGAGTACGATAGTGCTCATAGTCATGCATATGACTAGGCCATGCAGCCTGGACGTCATCTTTGGGCAGCCCTCACCAGCTAAATAACCTTGGCCAGTGCTGAGTAGATACCACAGAACATCCTGCACTTGTTCAGGTCATAGTTTTGTTCTCTGCCTGCTCCCCCATGTAAGACGACCAGACATGGGAGTGATTGCACTCTTATGAACCCTTCAGTTCATATTTGTACCTATAAAACTGAGAGCCACAGTCTGAGTCCAAAAAAGAAATCTCATATCAATATGGCACTGGTAGCTATGGGAGGGGTTTTATGGATCAGCCAAAACCCCACGGGCATGAAATGCCCCCTTAACAAAATTATTTACAGTTGACCTAAATTTGAGCAGTGGTTGGTCCAAAGCTCTTTGCCAGTCCTTTGTTAATTAAAGGACAGGAGTAAAGGAAGTGTATGACATGATAAAACCACGAGACAGCAGCCATCGCAAGTCCTTGAGCATTTACACAAATTGCTCTAATGAATGAATCCATTAACAAAGTGAAGTCAGGCATTAAGCACAGCGGAAATTTATGAGCTCTGCTTCTCATTACTGTTTTCTGTTTATGGGCTTCAGGGGAGGAGATTATTTGTATGGTGGGGGACAGAGTTCAAGCCCTATGGACAGCAGGTCATTGTTATGGCATCAAGGCCAGCTTGTGGAGATTTGGGGCAATGGGGGAGATTTTAAGAAAAGCCAGAGGAGTTTCTTGATGTGTCAGTGACAGCAAAATGAGAGGAACACACGCACGTGCAGGAGTGGAGCGGGAAGTACACACTCATACTCCCCCTCAGGAATCCCAGTCACTTTCAATGTGCAGCATCACACAACTTCAGCACAGTCTGACTGTGTGCCTATTGGCTCTGGGAAAGTGCCGGGGTCCCTTCCTCAGTAACCCTTCCTCTAATGATCTCCACCTTACCTACTGCCTCAGGGTTGTCGAAAGGGTTAAATGACCATGAGAGTTACATAAGAATTTGAAAGGTGTCACATGTGGTACAGTTGCTCATGTTGAACTCCTTGAAGCCTGGTCTGGGATCTCTAGGTCAGCGGTGGTTAAATGATTTGTTTAAGATGATTTTTCAACTGATGTGAAAATCGTTTCTCATGTCCTCCTATTCATTCAAATTAGACATTAGAAATTAGCCAAGACCCTCCTTACAGTAGTTAAGCCACAAACAAAGCAGGGAAGATGACAGAGAAGAAGGTAAACAGTGGGTATGTAAGAGTGATTTCAGGTTAGTTTTTCAGACTCGGTTCTCAGCTCATCAGTAGTGATTGAAGTGACACTGCTATTTCTGGGAGACATTTGTGACTTAAGTGCACAGAAAAGATGGCTATAAAAGTCAAGGGAAAGCAGACACTGACATTTATTTTTGACCTCTGTCTCTTAGGTGATACAGAACACTTGTCCAGATGGGCATTTTGAAAGGTATGTAACACTACCAAAGTCAAATGTGTAGGGTCTGTGAAGGCAGTAATTGGATGTGTCCTCAAACACAGTATATATAAAGCAAAACTCAGATCTAAGTCCTTCTCCTTGTCTCTATAAAGCCATCCATCACTCAAAACTCTTAATTCTTCCTCAGAGACATAGTTAACAGTAAAATAAACAACAGAATGCATCAGTTCCAAACTAGCAAGTAGTAAGGCTGAGGGAGATGAACTGGAATTAGTAGAACAGTGTTTATTTATCCAAAGTAACCAGAATAGGGAAATGAAGCATAGAAAAAAGAAAGTGCTGCTGAAAAGTAGGAAATTAACCCAAATAAGTTTGTAGTTGCAGTAAGGGAAAAATGGCAAATTTTTTGCTAGATTTTTAAAAATTCCATCTAGACTCTGATTATAGGAGATATATTTAAAATGCAAGGTTACAGAAAGGTTAAAAGTTAAAGGTTAAAAAGTAACCCAGTCCAGGAAATGGAAACAAGAGGGTTTTTTTTTTCTTTGTTGCTGCTTTCATTTTCTTTCCTTTTTGTCTTGTTTGTTTATCTGTCTTTGGGACAGATGAAATGGAGGGATAAATGGTAAATAAATGCAGCAGTGATACTCATCAGACACTATTTTGAAAAGGAACTATATAACTTATGGGGCGGTCATAGGAGGAAAAATCTGAAATAGTATGAGGGTAGGGGTGACACTGTCCAAAAAGCAATGTACTCTTTACCTAACTTATATAACTGTAACCTCCTCTGTGCATCACCTTTATAATAACAGTAAAAGAATTAAAAAAAAAAAAAGTAACCCAGGTCCAGTGAGGTGCATCTGTAGTCCCAGCTATACAGAGAGCAGAAGCAGGAGGATTGCTTGAGTCCAAGAGTTGGAGGTTAGACAACAGAGTGAAACCTTGTCTCAATGAGAAAAATGGACAACAAATGAATGATAATAAAAATAATTGAACATTGTCATGGCTATATTAATACCAGATGAAATAACTCTTAGGCTAAAAGAATGATTAGATAGAAAAGGGACTAGTACATCATGAAAACCAGAAAAATCCAATAGAAGGATATAAAATTTTCAACCATGTGTACACCCAGTAACATAGCCTGAAATACATAAGATACAGATGGACAAATATATCTCCATACAGTTGACAAATACCTAAAGAGGAGTTGTACGTCTGATGACGGCAGGAGATTTTCATACATCTGTCTTAAATGGTAATAAAGCAAACAGAAAATGTCAATGAGGTGGTAGGAGATTGAACTTCACAGCCGGCAAGTTTAACTGAATAAATGTGTAAGAAGACTAGCACCCAACAAAAACACAAACTCCATTCTGCTCAAGAATTCATGATACCTTTATCAAAATCCTCCAAGGCAAAACTCGACCCAGTAGAAATAGCGTCATTCTGACTGTTCTTTGAACAGAACCCATTCCTATCTCGCCAGGTGGCCACTATGCCCCTCCTGAAACCTTCCTGTCCCCTCCCTCCTCACTGCTGCCCTGGTGTCACCTGAGCCCTGCTCACCTG